GGGGTTGCCATAAAGAAGAGGGAGTCAAGCTATTTTCCAAAGCGCCTGGAGGCAGGACAAGAAGCAACGGGTGGAAACTAATCAAGGAGAGAAGCAATCTAGAACTAAGGAGAAACTTCCTGACAGTGAGAACAATTAACCAGTGGAACAACCTGCCTCCAGAAGCGGTGAATGCTCCAACACTGGAAGTTTTTAAGAGGAGACTGGACAGCCATTTGTCCGAAATGGTATAGGGTTTCCTGCCTGAGCAGGGGGTTGGACTAGATGACCTTCAAGGTCCCTTCCAACTTTACTATTATTATTATTATTATTATTATTATTATTATTATTATTATTATTATTATTATTATTATTATTATTATTATTATTATTATTATTATTATTATTATTATTTATCTTCGCCAAAGAAAATGTCTCTTTCCAAGATGCCTTGAGAGAGATTGCAGCTGAAGAAGCAGCGGGCGGCGCTGTGAAGGCCTTGTGGCTCGCCAGGAACCCTCCAGCAGCAGTCTCCGTCCATCAAGAGGTCGCTCAGGAGGAATCCGAACAGGATCCAGAAGAGGAGGTGGACAGACTTCAGCAGGCAGCGGAGAGGAGGCCTAAGGAGCGTTCTGACAAGGCAACTGCATTCCCTTGGTGTTTCGGATGTGGAGGACACCACAAGCGTTCCGACTGCCGTTTCCGCTCCGCCATTTGCCGGGCATGTGGCTGGCAAGGCCACATTGTCTCCGTCTGTTTGGGTCGCCAGAAGGACCGGTCTTCGGAAGAATTGCTTCAGAAAGGTACCAGGGTCCCCAGCCAACACAGGGTGGGTTTCTGCGCATCGCGCAGGAGCATTTTCAAAACTGGGGCACATAGGCCGCTTAGGAAGAAGCTTCACATTGACGTGAAGTTGCAGGGGGTTCCCCTCTCGGTGGAGTTGGACACAGGGTCCGCTTTATCGATCATTTCCCTAGACACTTTCAAAAAGATTTCCAGTAGAAGTGGCCTACGAGTTAAACTCAGGCCATCCAATTTAATCCTCACTGACTTCCAGAATTCCAGAGTCAGCGTGAAGGGGGAAGCCATGCTCAAGGTGCAGCGTAAGGATTTTGAAGGGTTGCTAGATGTGGTGGTAGTTGGGGGTGATCGCACGAGTCTTATTGGACTCGATTGGTTCGAGGCCCTTGGGATTCAAGTGACTGGACCTCACAGTCTGCAAATGTCAGGCCTTGCAGAAGTTTGCAAGGAGTTTGCTGATGTGTTCAGTTCAGAGCTTGGCTCGTACAAGGGGCCTCCCATTGCTTTACGTTTAGACCCAGCCATCACACCCATCAGGATTAAACCTCGAAGGGTGCCTTTTGCCCTGAAAAACAAAATAGATGCAGAACTGGACAAGCTGCTCCAGCAGGGCATCTTAGAACCCGTGGACTGCAGTCCATGGGAAACCCCCATAGTCACGCCACTGAAAGCCAATGGTGAAGTCTGGATCTGTGCGGACTATAAATGTACACTTAACAAAGCATTGCAGCAGCATGCCTACCTGGTGCCTGTGGTGAGCCACATTCTGGCCTCCCTCAAAGGGGGGCAAATCTTTGCAAAGCTTGATTTGGCTCAGGCCTATCAACAGTTACCAGTTGATGAGGCAACGGCTGAGGCCCAAACAATTGTGACGCACCGCGGAGCCTTTAAGGTAAAAAGGCTGCAGTTTGGGGTTAACGTAGCCCCAGGCATTTTCCAAAGCGTGATGGAGCGAACGCTCCGTGGCATTCCTGGGGTCTGCCCCTACTTTGATGATGTCCTCATTGCTGGGGAGTCATCTGTGAATCTAGCTGAAAGGCTGAGGGCTGTCTTGCTGCGGTTCCGCCAAGTGGGGCTGAAGCTGAAGCAAGATAAGTGTAAAATTGGAGTCACTTCCACTGAGTTTCTGGGCTTCCGTATTGATGCTGAAGGCATCCATCCTGCTGAATCCAAGCTCAAAGCAATTCAGCAGGCCCCAAGTCCCAAGTCCAAAAGCGAACTTCAGGCTTTTCTGGGACTTTTAAATTTCTACCACTCAGTCCTACCTCACAAGGCTGCAGTGGCTGAGCCATTACACTGGCTCTTGGACAAACAGGCTCCATGGAAGTGGACAAAGGTCCATGAAAGGAGTTTCACAGAGGTCAAGGCCTTGCTCTCTCCAAATGCAGTTTTAGCGCATTTCAATGAGCAATTGCCATGACTTCTTATATGGCCGCCACTTCACGGTCTACACAGACCATAAGCCTCTGCTGGGTTTGTTTATAACAAACAAACAAACAAACAAACAAACAAACCCCTCACATAATATCTCCTAGAATGCTGAGATGGTCAATTTTCCTGTCAGCATATGACTACACTCTGGTGCACAAACCAGGCAAAGAAATGGGCCATGCAGATGGCCTCAGCAGATTACCCCTACAGCAGGTAGAGGCAGATCCTGCTCCTGTTCTTCACATTCTCTCCATTCAGGAATTGCCTGAGTCTCCCCTCAATGCTAGGGACGTGGCTGCTGAAACTGCCACTGATCACACGTTAACACGTGTGCTGACATGGGTGCTGTCAGGATGGCCTGACACGTGTCCTGGTGCAGAATTCCAGAGCTTCTGGCAAAGGAAGCACGAGCTTTCCACATTCAAAGGGTGTGTCCTATGGGGTAGCAGGGTAGTGATCCCAGCCTCATTGAGGACTAGAGTCTTGCTCTCTCTACATGAGGGACATCCCGGAATTGTCTGGACGAAGGCGCTCGCACGCAGCCATCTTTGGTGGCCTGGGCTCGATAAAGAGATCGAGGCCCAGGTCCACGGGTGTACTGTTTGCCAACAGTCTGGGCCTGAAATGCCCCAGGCCCCTGTACATAGGTGGGAGGAGACACATGCCCCTTGGTCGAGGGTTCATATCGACTACGCTGGGCCCTTTCAGGGGCAATTCTTCCTTCTCCTCGTGGACAGCCATTCCAAGTGGCTAGAGGTCATTCCTGTCTCCTCCACTACTACTGCTAGGACCATTCAGGTGCTGAGAGGGATCTTCGCCTCACATGGGCTTCCAGACGTCCTTGTCTCCGACAACAGACCCCAATTCACTTCTTCGGAGTTTCAGGCTTTTCTACAGGCCAACTTGATCTGGCACGCCACTTCAGCACCGTTCCATCCAGCTTCCAACGGCCAGGCTGAGAGGATGGTGCGCACTACCAAAGATGCTCTCAAAAGACTCACTCATGGCAGCTGGCATCACAGGTTAGTTGACTTTCTTCTTTGCCAACGCACCACACCTTGCACAGCCACTGGGAAGAGCCCAGCAGAACTCTGCTGGGGTCGTCGCCTCATCACGAAACTGGACAGGTTGCACCCAGACTGGGTGGCTTCACAGGTGTCACAGCCGCAGGCACCTAGGAGACTACAGGTGGGCGATCCAGTCTGGGCAAGGAACTATGGACCTGGACATCTCTGGGTAACAGCAGTGGTATGCAAGGTCTCTGGGCCGCTGTCCTACAAAGTGGCTTTGGATGATGGTCGTGTGATCCAACGTCACATTGACCAACTGCGCTGGAGGCTTCCCAGCCACACTTCCGCTCCTGGCTCTGCTCTCGGGGGGGGAGGAGGACCACAATTACGATTGTGGACCACAGTCTCTCTGCCACAGCGGACCTTCACATGCTGCAGCACATGTTCCAGACGGGTGTTGTGCCATGGAGGCGGCTCCTGACTCTGGCACAGGCACCGGGTCAATGGGACATTGCTGTCAATCGGCTTCTCAAGCCACTCCACCTGCTGGTCTTGGGCTCGAGGGACAGTGCTCCCAAGAGGGGTCCATTGTGGGCTTGGGGAATTCCACCCCAGCACTGGACTTGGGGAATTCCACTCCCCCAAGGAACTCTGGTTTGGGTTCAGAGGATCCAGCCAGTCAGCAGCGTGGGGGATCGCCTGGGTCTATGGGGCATCAAAGTCCTGGTCTGCCTAGCCTGGCAGGCAAGCTGGCAGGCCAGGCACACACACTGGCTCCAAGAAGGTCAGAGCAGGCCAAGGGTCCACCCAAACACTTAAAGGACTATGTGAGGTTCCTGTCAAGTATGGGGGAAGCCTAGTAGTTCTCTATCAATCAGAACACACTCAAAAGAAGGGTGTTATACTTTTTGGTACTATAAAGTATGATGTATTATTGTTGGAATAAAGAGATGTAAATCTTGGGTTGCCTGTGAGCAGGCATAACTGTATTTAGAAATAACAACATGCTCAATTGAACACGTGTATATATGTATGGATGTACAAATAATAAGTGTGTACTTATTGTTTAATCCAAGGGGGGAGGGGTGTTGTGTCCTGGACCTGCTGAATGACTCAGCAGGCTCAGGAAAGCTGCAGAAAGGCCCAGGCAGACCACGTGGTCGCCCGGGACCAGAAAGGCTGTCTCCAGCCTTGCGCGCATGCGCAAGGTGGGAGAATGCCGTGAAATGATTGGCTGACGCTGTCCCTGCCAGGGGACTATAAAAGGGCCTGCGCCATTTTTGTTCTGTTCTGTTGGTGAATTGCAATAAAGGAAGACTGTTTTTTATTACTCCGCTTCGTCTCCATGCCACTTCTTTGGAAACAGAACATATTATAACTTTCAATGGTCACTAAATGAGTGTTTGTAAGTCGAGGATTACTTGTCTGGGAACAATCCAGAGAAAGAAATATTTTTGGGAATATTAAAAAGGCAGAATAGGGAAAAGACTAAAGTACTTACAAGAAATTTAACAGAAAAACAGAAAGCTCAATTTGTGGAAAAAACAAATCTCCAGATAGTTAAAAAAGTTAAATACTTAGGTATTTATTTAACATCAAAATGTATAACAATAAAAGAAGATAACTATGGAAGATTATTGAATCAAATAAAAATGGATTTGGAGAAGTGGAAAAATTTTCAATTATCATTACTAGGAAGGATAGNAAGGGAAAAAAGCAAGAATCAAAATTAAACTGCTACAAGAATCAAAAGACAGAGGGGGCTTTGGGCTCCCAGACTGGAGACTTTATTACCAAGCCACTATTTTGTTGTGGCTTAAAGAATGGATCACACTGAGAAATAAACGACTTCTTTACTTAGAGGGACATGATTTGCAACTGGGTTGGCATGCTTTCCTTTGGTATGAGAAAAACAAAGTACATAAATACTTCCAAACCCATGCCATAAGGAATGTATTACTTTCAGAGTGGGAGATAGTTAAAAAGAAAATTTATATGAAAATATAATGACACCAGTTAGATTAGAGAAAATGTTTAAAAATGTATCAAATATGTGTTGGAAATGTAAACAACAACCAGGCACTTATTACCATCTCTGGTGGATATGTCCTAATGCTAAAAGGTTTTGGTTTAAGATCCATATGTGGCTAGAAGAGATGATTAAAATACAGATAGAATTTAAACCAGAACTCTGTTTGTTAGGAATATTAGGTTTGAATTATGGAAAAGAGAATGAGTATTTAATATTGCATGTGCTGACAGCCACAAGAATAATATTTGCGCAATTTTGGAAAAATGAAAATTTACCATCTGACCAGGCTATAATAACAAAAATACTCGAATGTGCAGAAATGGATAGATTGACTTTAGAAATGAAAGAGAAAGAAGACACAATTTAATTTAAAACATGGGGAAAATTTTATTATTGGTTAGAAACACACTAGAATGGGAAAAGGTTATGAAATTTAAAGAGATAATTGATAATTTGTATTTATATTCCATGATTATTTGTATGAGCTTGTTCTTATTTCTTCTTCTTCTTCTTCTTCCTCTTTGTATATTTGTGATCTTAAATAATACGGTAAACTATAATTAATATGTAATATATTATTATTTTAAAGTGATTATAATTAATTAATACTAAGCATTGTCAAGTAGTGAAATGAATGAGATTTATTGACTAATTTGTTATTTACATGATTATATGGAAAGTTGTTTAATAATAGAGTAATTATTAAGATTTAATATGTAAACCCGGAATGGTAGACATGCTGAAGCGATGTTATTTTGTGGGATTAATCCCACTTTTGTGTTACCCCTTTCCCCTGGTCTAACCTTTTTGTATGTTTCCCATTGTCTTATCCTTTTTGACCCTATCCCTTTATTACCTTTATAAAACTCAATAAAAATATTTATAAAAAAAAATAAAATAATAAAAAGGCAGAATATATTTCCCCAAAGGAATAATGGAGAAGACCTTTAAAAAGGCAGAAACTTCTACACACACACCCCCAGCCAGACAACTCAGCAGAAACCAGCTTTTAGAAATGCAGATGTAATAATCCATTCAGGAAGGTTGGAGCCCTCCAGCTAGAAGCTGAAGAGATCAGCAAGACAAAGATCCTTAAAATCTACATACCCCACCCAAACTCTAAGACAGGACATAATAGGATTAACCCACCACCATCAGAATACCAGAAAGGGACACTCAGACTCAGGTCAAAGTTCATGACACAGGAACAACTCCAAAGAAAAGCCCAAGAAGGTATAAAAACCCACTCACTACTACATGTGCTCTCTCTTTTTTCCAGAGCCATCTTTCTGTCTGGGTCTCCTCTTCAATAAACTACAACCTTCTTTCTAAAGCAGTCGCAACATTGTTTATTCCCAGCTTGGACTGGACCCTGATGAAGATTTTTCCTTCAACACTTGTGTTCAGACCAGGTCTCTGAGCCAATGATTGGCTTCAATACCTGACAGCAGAGAAATCCACAGGAAGGGAGGTCAAAGAAATCAAGATGGCTGCTACAACCATGTGACCAAAGTCTCTTCCTTTTCATGTCCATGTAAACGGGTGGAGCTTCAATTGATTGGTTGTGGGTACTGTAATGTACTGAGCTTAAACAGGTAACAGGTGCAGTGAGCTGCACTGAGACCGTTAGGAGACCACGTGGCCTGCTGGCCAGACTTGCTGTCTGCAAGGGCTGACTAGTATGCATTTGAGTGGGAGAATACGTTGCATTCATTGGCTGACACTGCCCCAAGCTGAATATATAAATAGGGGCGGAGCCATCTTTGTTTGAGTTCTGTTTTGTCTTCAGTAAAGAAGTACCTGTGTTACTACTCCTGCCTCTTCAATGCTGAACCCAGCAAGAAACAGAACATTGGCGACGAAGGTGGGATCGTGCTGCCGCAAATCGAAGGGCTGAGTCACCGAGGAAAAGCCTAGCAAGCGCTTAGAAGAATGGCGTTCCAACTTCCTTCCCACTCTGCCTGCCAGTACGAAAATGCTGGAGGAGAGTGCCTTAAAGAACCGACCTGGCACAACAGATTAAAAGATCGAAACAGAACTTTTTTGAAAATGCTAATAAACCGGGAAGATGGCTTGCATACAGATTGAAAAAAGAAAGAGAAAAAAGATTGATAAGTAAGCTACAAGACTCAAAAGGCGAGTTACATTGCCATAATGATATAATGAAAAAAAATTACTAAGGACTATTATGAGACACTCTATAAGGCGGAGACGATTTCTAAAGAGGCAATACAGGACTATTTAAAAGAAGCGAATCTTCCAAAGGTGCCCGAGACTATGCGACATATGTTAAATGAGAAGATAACAATGATGGAGATTACAGAGGCAATAAAAAGGCAAAAGAAGGATAAAACTCCAGGACCTGATGGACTTCCTGCAGAATTCTATGTAGCCCTTCAAGATATAGGAAGCCCGATTTTGAAAGATCTATGCAATGAAACTTTCTCAGAGACAAAAACACCAAATTCGTGGACTGAAGCTAATATTACTTTGATACCTAAAGAAATACTGATTGCACACAAATTAAAAATTATAGACCAATATCGTTATTAAACATGGACTATAAAATTTTTACTGCAATAATGGCGGAAAGAATGAAGACATTTTTGACTGATTTTATTCACTCAGACCAAAATGGCTTTCTGCCCAAAAGGCAGATAAAGAATAACCTAAGGATTATTTTAAATGTTTTGGAATATTATGAAAACCATCCTGGGAAACAGATGGCACTTATATTTCTTGACGCACAAAAAGCCGTTGACAATCTAAATTGGCAATTTATGTTTCAACAGTTGAAGGAAATGGATTTTGGTGAAAACTTTATAAACGCAATTCAAGCAATTTATAAGAAACAAACAGCAAGGATACTTTTAAATGGAGATTACACAGATGGTTTTGATATTAAAAAGGCACAAGACAGGGATGCCCATTGTCGCCTTTGTTATTTATTCTTACATTGGAAGTGTTGGCAAGGAATATTAGGCAGGATATGGAAATCAAAGGATTGGAGATAAAAGATCAGAAATACAAATTACAGGCCTTTGCAGATGATCTGGTTTTTATTTTGGAAGAGCCATTGGAAACAGCCACCAAACTCTTGCAGATAATAGAGAAATTTGGAGAAGTGGCCAGACAAAAAACCTAACAGATAAACAGAAAAACCAACTTGCTAAAAAGAGAAATCTTCAAATAGTTAAAAAAGTTAAATACTTAGGTATTCATTTAACAGCAAAATATACAACATTAAAAGAGGATAATTACGAGAGGCTAGTGAAACAAATAAAAGCATACTTGGAAAAGTGGAAAAATCTTCAACTATCACTGTTAGGAAGAATAGCGACTGTTAAGATGAATATTTTACCAAAGCTACTTTTTCTATTCCAAACAGTTCCCGTCAAATTGACTAAGAAATTTTTTGATGATTTAAATACAACAATACTGAGATTTATATGGCAAGGAAAGAAAGCAAGAATTAAAATTATACTACAGGAATCTAAAGACAGAGGGGGCTTTGGACTCCCGGACTGGAGACTTTATTATCAAGCAGCTATTCTGCTTTGGCTTAAAGAATGGATTACATTGAGAAACAAAGGACTTCTGTACTTAGAGGGACATGATTTGCAATTAGGTTGGCATGCGTTTATGTGGTATGAAAAAAATAAAGTACATAAATACTTTCAAAATCATGCCATAAGGAATGTACTGCTTTCAGAGTGGGAGAGAATTAAACATCAAATCTACATGAAAATACCGGAGTGGCTGTCTACAATGGAAGCGTTTGCTTACCCAACCTTAATTAATTATGATAAACTTGTTACTTACAAAGATGTTTTGGATAAGGATGGAAAACTTAAAGACAAGTTCTTCAACAACAAGGCATTGTGGTCTTATTTGCAAATTCAGACAAGATATGAAAAAGATGTAAAATCAACGGGATTTTATAAAGAACAGATACCAATTGACAAAATACTCTTAACAACAGATGAAAATCTGATTTAAAAACTTTATAAATTTTTGTTAAGTTGGAAGATGGAAGAACAAGTAAAAGAAACAATGATAGTATGGGCAAAGATTTTGGACATTCTATAGATTTAGAAGACTGGCAAAAACTTTGGGATAGAAATATTAAACTTACTAAAGCAGCCTCATATAAAGAAAATGTATATAACATGTTTTATAGATGGCATATGACACCAGTTAGATTAGCGAAAATGTTTAAAAATGTATCGAATATTTGCTGGAAATGTAAACAAAAACCAGGCACTTACTATCATGTCTGGTGGACATGCCCTAAGGCAAAGAAATTTTGGTTTAAGATCTACTTATGGCTGGAAAAAATGACTAAAATACAAATAGAATTTAAGCCAGAACTGTTTTTGTTAGGAATATTAGGAATCAATTATGGGAAAGAGAATGAATATTTAATATTGCACGTATTGACAGCGGCAAGAATAGTATTTGCCCAACTTTGGAAAAATGAAGATTTACCACCTGACCAGACTATAATTACTATAATTTTAGAATGCGCAGAAATGGATAGATTAACTTTAGAGATCAAAGAGAAAGAAGACTCTATCTATTTTAAAACATGGGAAAAATTTTATCAATAGTTAGCAACAAGTTAGAACGAGAAAAAACTTTGAAATCAAATTGGATGAATGTGATTTTAAGCATTAGTGATTATATTTAATTAGTATTTTATTAATTATCCTTATTTAGCAAGATGAATAATATTTATTTATTATTCTTTATTTTTATGATTATTGTTAACCCAGTTTATTATAACTGTTTAGTATTATATAAGTGATCTTTATTCAACATTTATACCCGGACGGAAATTTGCTTGCTAAGCGTGGAATTTTTGTTGGGGGTAACCCCATCATTGTACCTATCCTTGATCCATTCCCAATCCCATATTCCTACCCTTTCCTATACCCGTACCGACCCTATCCTTTTCCTATCCTTATAAAACCTAATAAAATATTTATTAAAAAAAAAAAAAGAACCGCCCTGGAACTCCTTTGGAAAGCCTGCGCAGCACAAGGCATTGAAAAGTCTGCCAAAGACTCACCATGGCAAAGATAGGTCGTCTCTCGGAATTCAACATCACCCACCCAGAGCGATGTCAACCAAGTCAACCAAGTTCGGGAAGACAGACTGAAGGCCGCGACGCTGCTGTGTGTTTGCGGTCAAGAAACATTCGACATCGCGGAGAACTTGGTTGCTCCAGCGCCATTGGAGTCTATTGCTTACGCAGAACTGAAAAGAATGCTCAAGGAACATTTTGAGCCGAAGCTTTCGGTCATCGCTTGGCGACATGCCTTTGAACAGCGGGACCAGCATCCTGGGGAGTCCGTTGCAGACTTCATTGCTGCTCTTTGCCAAGCTGCAAGGCCATGCGAATTCAAGGACCTTGAAGAACGGCTATGAGACCATTTAGTTTGTGGTCTGAGGAGCCGGGAACTTCAGCAAAAGATTTTTGCTAGAGAAACTGTCTCCTTCCAAGACACGCTAAGGGAGATAACGGCCGAAGAAGCAGCAGGTGGAGCTGTTAAGGCCTTGCGGCTCTCAAAAAACCCTCATTGTGCGGACACAGTCCACCAAGAGGACGCCGAGAGGGTTGAAGACTCCGAATTGGACCACGAAGTCGATCGGCTGCAACAACCTCCAGAAAGAAGGCCTCAAAAGCAACCTGACAAGGCAGTTCCCTTCTCTCGGTGTTTCGGGTGTGGAGGCCGCCACAAACGAACCGACTGCTGTTTCCGTACCACCACTTGCCGGGTGTGTGGCCGGCAAGGCCACATCGCCGCCGTTTGTTTGAGTCGCAGAAAAGAACATCCATCGGAAGAGTTGCCTCGGAAAGGTACCGGGGTCCCCAGTCAGAACAAGGTGGGTTTTTGCGCGAGTAGAAGGAGCGTGCTTAGGACAGGCGCCCATTGCCCACTTAAGAAGAAGCTACACCTCGAAGTCAAGCTGCAAGGGGTTCCTTCAGACATGGAGCTGGACACGGGTTCAGCTTTATCCATAATCTCCCAGAGAACACTTAAGCAGATTTGCTGCAGAAGCGGCCAAAGAGTTAAGCTCAGGCCGTCAAATCTTGTCTTGACAGACTTCCAGAATTCCCGGGTCAGCGTCAAAGGGGAGGCCACACTCGGGGTGCAGTTCAGGGATTTTGAGGGCCCTTTGGACGTTGTAGTTGTTGAGGGCAACTGCACGAGTCTGATTGGACTCGATTGGTTTGATGCCTTAGGAATTCAGGTGACTGGATTAAACAGTTTGCAAACGGCGAGCCTTTCAGAGGTGTGTAAAGAGTTTGCTGATGTTTTCAGCCCAGAGCTAGGGGCATGCAAAGGGCCTCCAATTGCTCTAAGGTTAGATCCTTCCATAGCACCAATCAGGATTAAGCCTCGACGGGTGCCCTTTGCTCTCAAGCAGAGAATAAATGCTGAGCTGGACAAATTGTTGCAGCAAGGCATTTTGGAACCTGTGGACAGCAGTCCATGGGAAACTCCCATTGTCACGCCACTTAAGGCCAACGGGGAAGTCCGCATTTGTGCTGACTATTGTAGCGCTACCTCCTCAGAGGCCGCCAATGCCCAGGCCCTCCCGGCCACGTCCCCCCATGTCCAGCCTTGCAGCAATGTTCTTTAGAGATCGATGAGATGTCTTACAACCGGAACTCATGCAGCATTAATGGGTGGCAGGCTCTTCTTGTTGAAGCAGGACTTTCAGGCACGAACTTAACCAGTCACAGTGGTTGATACTCTGAAGATGTATATAACAGCTCAGGGCTGCTTTAGCGGCAGGAGTAACAGGGCCCTGAGCAATCGTTCAGAATCCGATGAAAT